GGCACTTGGGAAAGGAATTGAGAATTTGGGATTTGGGAATTTGGAGAGGGATTTTGGGATGGGGATTTGGGAAGGGAAGGAATTTTGGGGAGGGAATTTGAGAACCTGGGGATTTGGGAACCTGGGAATTTGGGGATTTGGGATTTTGGGAACAGAATTTGAGATTTGGAAATTTGGGGGTTTTGCCTTTTGGGATTTGGGAAGGGAAGGAATTTTGGGAAGGGAATTTGGAGATTTGGGAATCATGCCTTGGAGCCAAGGCGGGAATGGGAGTGGGAAAGGGAAGGAAACGGGATCCAGATTCCCATGGGATGATCCCGATCCCATCGGGATCAGCTCCAACCCCTCTGAATTCCCATGGGATGATTCTGATCCCATGGGATTCACTCCAGGACCGCTGGATTCCCTTGGGATGACCCCAGTTCCCTTGGGATGTTCCCAATCCCATGGGATCCACTCCAACCCCTCGGGATCTCCCATTCCTGATCCCCACGGGATCTACCCCAGCCCCTCCGGATCCCCGTGGGATGATCCCAATTCCCTTGGGAGGATCCTGATCCCTTTGGGATCCACTCCATGCCCTTGGGATCCCCCATTCCCGGTCGCATGGGATCCACTCCAGCCCCCCTGGATTCCCATGGGAAGATCCCAATTCCCTTGGGTTGTTCCCGATCCCTTTGGGATCCATGTGATGCCCTCAGGATCTCCCAATTTCTGCTCCCTTTGGGATCAGCTCCGGCCCCTCTGAATTCCCACGGGATGATCCCAAATCCCTTGGGATGATCCCCATCCCTTTGGGATCCACTCCAGGCCCTCTGGATTCCCTTGGGATGATCCCAATTCCCTTGGCACGATCCCAATTCCCTTGGCACGACCCCAATTCCCTTGGGACGATCCCAATTCCCTTGGGATGATCCTGATCCCATGGGATCCACTCCAGCCCCACTGGATTCCCTTGGGACGACCCCAATTCCCTTGGGACGACCCCAAATCCCTTGGGCCGATCCCGATCCCATGGGATCCCCCGGGATCCCCCGCTGCGGTTCCAGGTCAGCGGCCAATCGGGGGTGAGGTTCCGGAACTGGGCGGGCACCTACGGATCCTGCCCGGAGCTCTTCTTCCGGCCCCGCTCCCTGCACGAGGTCCGCCAGGTACGGACGCGGGAAACGGGAAAAAATCCCCCAAAAATCGGGAATTCCAACGGGAAAAAATCCCCCAACATCGGGAATTCCAACGGGAAAAATAAGGAAAAATCGGGAATTCCAACGGGAAAAAATCCCCCAAAAATCGGGAATTCCAACGGGAAAAATAAGGAAAAATCGGGAATTCCAACGGGAAAAATAAGGAAAAATCGGGAATTCCAACGGGAAAAATCGGGAATTCCAACAGGAAGAATCACTGGGAACGTCCCGGGAAAAATGGTCCTAAAAAAACAGGAATATAAAAAAAAAACCCAACATCCAAAACCACCAGGAATGACCCAAAAAATTATTCCAAAACATCGGGAATGTCCCCAAAAAAATGATCCTAAACCAGCAGGAATATCCCAAAAAACCCATCTCCAAAACTGGGAATGTCCCCAAAAAAATTTATTAAAACTTTGGGAATATTCCAAAAATCCATCCCAAACTACCAGGAATATCCTGAAAAACCCATCCAGGGAATATTTTCCCCCTTTTCCCAATGGAATTTCTGGGTTTTTCCCATTGGAATTCCTGATTTTTCCCATTGGAATTCCAGATTTTTCATGTGGGAATTCCTGGTTTTTCCCATTGGAATTCCCGGGGTTTTTTCCCTGCTGGAATTCCCAAATTTTCCTCTTTTTTTTTCTGATTTTTCCCATTGTGACTCCTGGTTTTTTTCCCCCGTCAGAATTCCTGATTTTTCCCCATTAGAATTCCCAATTTTTCCCATTGGAATTCCTGATTTTTCCTCATTTTTTCCACAATTTTTCCCATTGGAATTCCCAGGGTTTTTTTCCCTGTTTTTTCCCATTGGAATTCCCAATTTTTCCTCATTTTTTTCCTGATTTTTCCAAATTTTTCCCATTAGAACTCCTGGGTTTTTCCCCATTGTGGCGGGTGGCGGAACCCAAGAGGATTTTTTGGATATTCCCGAAGTTTTTTGTGGTGAATTTTTTGTTCATTCCCGGTGGTTTTTGGGTGGATTTTTTGCTCATTCCCGGTGGTTTTGGGGTGGATTTTTGGTTCATTCCCGGAGTTTTTGGGGGTGGATTTTTTGTTCATTCCCGAAGCTTTTTGGGGTGGATTTTTTGTTCATTCTTGGTGGGATTTGGGTGGATTTTTTGCTAATTCCTGCTGGTTTTGGGGTGGATTTTTTTGTTCATTCCCTGGTTCATTCTCGGTGTTTTTCTGGCAGATCCTGGATGAGTTTTTTATTCATTCCTGGTGGTTTTGGGGTGGATTTTTCTGTTCATTCCCGGTGGTTTTGGGTGTTTTTCTGTTCATGCTCGGTGGTTTTGAGGTGGAATTTTTTGTTCATTCCTGGTAGGTTTGGGGTGGATTTTTTGTTCATTCCCGCTGGTTTTGAGGTGGATTTTTGGTACATTCCCGGTGTTTTTTGGGGGGTCTATTTTTTGTTAATTCACGGTGGTTTTGGGGTGTTCATTTGTTAATTCCCAGTGATTTTGAGCTGGATTTTTTCATTCCTGGTGGTTTTAGGGTGGGGTTTTGTTCATTCCTGGTGGGTTTGGGGTGGATTTTTTGTTCATTCCCACTGGTTTTGGGCTGGATTTTTGTTCATTCCCGGTGTTTTCCGGCAGATCCTGAATGGGTTTTTTGTTCATTCCCGGTGGTTTTGGGGTGTTTTTTGTTCATTCCCAGTGTTTTTCTGGCAGATCCTGAATGGGTTTTTTGCTCGTTCCCGGTGTTTTTGGGGTGGGTTTTTTGTTAATTCCTGGTGGATTTTTTGGATATTCCCGAAGTTTTTTGGGGTGGATTTTTTGTTCATTCTCGGTGGTTTTGGGGTGGAATTTTTGTACATTCCCGGTGGTTTTGGGGTGCATTTTTTGTTCATTCCCAGTGTTTTTTGGGTGGTTTTTTTGCTCATTCCTGGTGGTTTTGGGGTGGATTTTTCGTTTATTCTTGATGGTTTTGGGCTGGATTTTTTGTTCATTCCCGATGTTTTTTGGGGCAGATTTTTTTGTTCATTCCCGGTGGTTTTGGGGTGGATTTTTTGCTCATTCCCGGTGGTTTTGGGGTGGATTTTTTGCTCATTCCCGGTGGTTTTGGGGTGGATTTTTTGCTCATTCCCAGTGTTTTTCTGGCAGATTTTTTGCTCATTCCCGGTGGTTTTGGGGTGGATTTTTTGCTCATTCCCGGTGGTTTTGGGGTGGATTTTTTGCTCATTCCCGGTGGTTTTGGGGTGGATTTTTTGCTCATTCCCGGTGGTTTTGGGGTGGATTTTTTGCTCATTCCCGGTGGTTTTGGGGTGGATTTTTTGCTCATTCCCAGTGTTTTTCTGGCAGATCCTGAATGAGTTTTTTGTTCATTCCTGGTCGTTTTGGAGTGGATTTTTGGTTCATTCCCAGTGGTTTTGGGGTGGATTTTTTGTTCATTCCCACTGGTTTTGGGCTGGATTTTTGTTCATTCCCGGTGTTTTCCGGCAGATCCTGAATGGGTTTTTTGTTCATTCCCGGTGGTTTTGGGGTGTTTTTTGTTCATTCCCAGTGTTTTTCTGGCAGATCCTGAATGGGTTTTTTGCTCGTTCCCGGTGTTTTTGGGGTGGGTTTTTTGTTAATTCCTGGTGGATTTTTTGGATATTCCCGAAGTTTTTTGGGGTGGATTTTTTGTTCATTCTCGGTGGTTTTGGGGTGGAATTTTTGTACATTCCCGGTGGTTTTGGGGTGCATTTTTTGTTCATTCCCAGTGTTTTTTGGGTGGTTTTTTTGCTCATTCCTGGTGGTTTTGGGGTGGATTTTTTGTTTATTCTTGATGGTTTTGGGCTGGATTTTTTGTTCATTCCCGATGTTTTTTGGGGCAGATTTTTTTGTTCATTCCCGGTGGTTTTGGGGTGGATTTTTTGCTCATTCCCGGTGGTTTTGGGGTGGATTTTTTGCTCATTCCCAGTGTTTTTCTGGCAGATCCTGAATGAGTTTTTTGTTCATTCCTGGTCGTTTTGGAGTGGATTTTTGGTTCATTCCCAGTGGTTTTGGGGTGGATTTTTTGTTCATTCTTGATGGTTTTTGGGTGGTTTTTTTTTGTTCATTCCTGGTGGTTTTGGGGGGGATTTTTTGGATTTTCCTGGTAGTTTTGGGGTAGGTTTATTGTCAATTACCGATGGTTTTGGGCTGGATTTTTTGTTCATTCCCGAAGCTTTTTGGGGTGGATTTTTTGTTCATTCTTGGTGGGATTTGGGTGGTTTTTTTGCTAATTCCTGCTGGTTTTGGGGTGGATTTTTTTGTTCATTCCCGCTGGATTTTTTGGATATTCCTGATGGTTTTTGGGGTGGATTTTTGGTTCATTCCTGGTGTTTTGGGGGTAGATTTTTAGTTCATTCCCAGTATTTTGGGGTCGATTGTTTTGTTCATTCCTGGTGGTTTAGGGGTGGATTTTTGGTTCATTCCTGGTTTTTTTGGGCTGTTTTTTTGTTCATTCCTGGTGTTTTTGCTGTGGGTTTTTTGTTCATTCTCGGTGGTTTTTGGGGTGGATTTTTGATTCATTCTCGGTGTTTTTCTGGCAGATCCTGGATGATTTTTTTATTCATTCCTGGTGGTTTTGGGGTGGATTTTTCTGTTCATTCCCGGTGGTTTTGGGTGTTTTTCTGTTCATTCTCGGTGGTTTTAATGCTGCTGGCCAAGTGAGCGGGATTGGAAACGGGAATGGGATCGGGAATGGGAGTGGGAATGGGATTGGAAATGAGAATGAGAATGGGAATGGGATCGGGATCGGGAATGGGATTGGGAATGGGATCGGGAATGGGAATGGCATGGCGCTGGCCAAGTGAGCAGGAATGGGAACGGGATTGGGAATGGGAACGGCATGGCCCAGGCCAAGTGAGAGGGAACCGGAACGGGATCGGGATCAGGAATGCAAATAGGAATGGGAATAAGAATGGGAATGGGATCGGGATTGGGCATGGGAACGGGAATGGGAATGGGAACAGCTTGGCCCTGGCCAGGTGAGTGGGAACGGGATGGGAAGGGGGTCAGGATCGAGAATGGGGTTGGGAATGGGAACAGGATTGGGAATGGGATCAGGAATGGGGATGGGACGGGGATGGGATTGGGAACCAGAATGGGAACGGCAGGGCCCTGGCCAAGTGAGCGGGTCAGGAATGGGATCGGGAACGGGAATGGGATCAGGATCAGAATGAGGATTAGGATTGGGATTGGGAATGGGATCGGGATCAAGAATGGCATTGGAGTCGGGATTGGGAACGGGGTCAGGATTGGGATTGGGATGGGCATGGGGTCAGGAATGGGATTGGGATCTGGAATGGGGATGGGAGTGGGATGGGGGATGGAATCAGGATTGGGATTGGGTTTGGGAGTGGCATGGGGATGGGAATAACAATGGGAATGGGATCAAGATTAGGATTGGGATCAGGAATGGGATTGGGAATAGGGTCAAGAATGGGATTGGGATTTGGAAAGGGGTCAGGACTGAGACTGGGATAGGGAATGGGATCGGGATCAGGAATGGGAATGGGATTGGGATATGGATTGGGATTGGGAATGGGATCAGAGTTGGAATCGGGAATGGGAATGGGAATGGGAATGGGAATGGGATTGGGAATAGGATTGGGATCAGGAGTGGGAATGGGAATGGGAATGGGGATGGGAATGGGAATGGGAATGGGAATGGGAATGGGAATGGGAATGGGAATGGGATGGGAATGGGGATGGGAATGGGAATGGGAATGGAGATGGGAATGGGAATGGGAATGGGAATGGGAATGGGAATGGGAATGGGAGTGGGAGTGGGAATGGGAATGGGAATGGGAACGGGAACGGGAATGGGAATGGGAATGGGAATGGGACATGGATCCAGGTGGGATTGAGAGCCAGGAATGGATCCAGGTAGGATCAGAATGGATCTGGAATGGATCCAGGTGGGATTGGGAACAGGAATGGGAATGGGAATGGGAATGGGAATGGGAATGGGAATGGGAATGGTTCCAGGTGGGATTGAGAGCCAGGAATGGATCCGGGTAGGATCAGGAATGGATCAGGAATGGATCCAAGTGGGATTTGGGAACAGGAATGGGAATGGGAACGGGGATGGGAACAGGAATGGGAATGGGGTCAGGGTCGGAATTGGGAATGGGATTGGGATTGGGAATGGGATCAGGATCGGGGATGGGGATTGGGAATGGGAATGGGAATGGGAATGGGAATGGGAATGGGAATGGGATGGGAATGGGATGGGAATAAGAATGAGAATGGGATGTGGATCCAGGTGGGATTGAGAGCCAGGAATGGATCCAGGTGGGCTCAGGATCTGGGAATGGATCCAGGTGGGATCGGGAATGGATCCAGGGCGGATCCAAAGCTGGGAATCCTCACCCCGAGCTGTCCCCGCTCCCAGTTTAGGAGCCGTGTCCGAGGTGACGGCGGCCGGAGTCATCGGCACCGGGACCCACAACACCGGGATCGAGCACGGAATCCTGCCCACCCAGGTGGGATCCCTGCTGGGAATTCTGGGAATCCCAAATCTGGGAATCCTCCAATACGCCTCCGAAATCCACGCGGGGATTGCAGGGATGGAGACGGAGAAGGGAATCCTGGGAATATTCCAGAGCTTGGAGAAACTGGGATGGTGGAATTCCATGGAATGGGAGTGTCCAACCAAAATTATCTTCAAAAAGTTTTTTTAGAAAATCCTCAAAAAATAATTTTTAAAAATCCCCAAATTATCCCCAAAAAATCCTCCCCCCCCCCAAAAAAATCCAAAAAGAAATTCCCAAAAAGAAAAAAAAAAACAGGAAAAAAACCCCCTGAAAAAATTCACAGACTTTCCTCAGGAATTTCCTCAGGAATCAGGAAAAACTCTGGGAATTCCCATTCAGAATTGAGGAAAAAGTCTGGGAATTCCTGTGCAGAATTTCCTTGGGAATGAGGAAAAAAATCCTGGAATTGCCACCAGGAATTTCCTGGGGAATGAGGGAAAAAACTCTGGGAATTCCCGCTCAGAATTGAGGAAAAGGTCTGGGAATTCCTAACAGGAATTTCCTTAGGAATGAGGGAAAAAATCCTGGAATTCCTGCCAGGAATTTCCTCAGGAATCAGGAAAAAGCGCTGGGAATTCCCGCTCACAATTTCCTCAGGAAGGAAGGAAAAAAAATACTGGAATTTTCTCGGGTATGAGGAAAAATTCCTGGAATTCCCATCAGGAATTTCCTTGGGAAGGAGGGAAAAACTTGGAATTCCTGTCTGGAATTTCCTCAGGAATGGGGGAAAATTCCCGGAATTCCGTCTGTGTGAGGTCGCCTCCCCTCCACCCTCACCCAGGTACGCAATTCCCAAAATTCCCAACATTTGCACAGGAATGGGGAAAAAATTCCTGGAATTTCCTCAGGAATTTCCACAGGAATTAGGAAAAAACTCTGGGAATTCCTGCTCGCAATTTCTTCCGGAAGGAGGGAAAAAAATATTGGAATTTCCTCAGGAATGGGGAAAAATTTCTGGAAGTTTTTGAGAATGAGGGAAAAAAATTCCTGGAGTTTCCTTGGGAATGAGGGAAAAAACTCTGGGAATTCCTCTCAGAATTCCCTTGGGAATGAGGAAAAATTCACAGACTTTCCTCAGGAATTTCCTCAGGAATTCCCTCAGGAATTCCCTCAGGAATCAGGAAAAAACTCTGGGAATTCCCACTCAGAATTGAGGAAAAAGTCTGGGAATTCCTGCGCAGAATTTCCTTGGGAATGAGGGAAAAATTCCTGGAATTTCCTTGGGAATTTCCTCAAGAATGGGGAAAATTCTGGGAATTTCCTCAGAAATTTCCTCAAGAATCAGGAAAAAACTCCCAGAATTTCCTTGGGAATGGGGGGAAAATTCCTGGAATTCTGGTTGGAAATTTTCTCAGGATGGGGAAAAAACTCCGGGAATTCCCACTCCCATCTCAGATTTCTCCCCTTGGAACTTCCTCGGGAAGGAGGGAAAAAAATTCCTGGAATTTCCTCAGGAATGATGAAAATTCCCCCAGTTCTGGCTGTGCAAGGTCACCTTCCCCTCCTCCCTCAGACTCCTCAAATTCCTGGGATTTTCCGTCATTTTCTCAGGAATGAGGGAATTTCCTGGATCCTTTCCCACTTTCCTGAAATCCTTTCTCACTTTTCCTCCATCCTCCGGAGTTTTCCCCAAATCCTTTCCCACATTCCCGAAATCCTTTCCCACTTTTCCTGCCTCTCCCATCCCTTTCCCTCCATCCATTCCCACTTTTTTTCCATCCTTTCCCACATTTTCCATCCTTTCCCACATTCCCTAAATCCCTTCCCACTTTCCCTAAATGCTTTCCTACTTTTCCATAAATCCTTTCCCACTTTTCCTCCATCCTCCGGAGTTTTCCCCAAATCCTTTCCCACATTCCCGAAATCCTTTCCCACTTTTCCTGCCTCTCCCATCCCTTTCCCTCCATCCATTCCCACTTTTTTTCCATCCTTTCCCACATTTTCCATCCTTTCCCACATTCCCTAAATCCCTTCCCACTTTCCCTAAATGCTTTCCTACTTTTCCATAAATCCTTTCCCACTTTTCCTCCATCCTCCGGAGTTTTCCCCAAATCCTTTCCCACATTCCTGAAATCCTTTCCCACATTTTCCCCAAATCCTTTCCCACATTCCCTGGATCCTTTCCCACATTCCCTGAAATCCTTTCCCACATTCCCGAAATCCTTTCCCACTTTTCCTGCCTCTCCCAACCCAATCCCTCCATCATTCCCACCTTTTTCCATCCTTTCCATCCTTCCCATAAATCCTTTCCCACATTCCCTGGGTTCTTTCCCCCCTTTTCCCAAAATCCTTTCCCACTTTTCCCCCATCCTCCAGGACGTTCCCTCCATCCTTTCCCACATTCCCTGGATATTTTCCCTTTCCCCTCCATCCTTTCCCATTTTCCCCCATCCTCCAGGATTTCCCCTCCATCCTTTCCCACATTCCCTGGATCTTTTCCCTTTTCCCCTTCATTCTTTTCCCACTTTTCCTGCTTCTCCCAGCCCTTTCCCTCCATCCATTCCCACCTTTTTCCACCCTTTCCATCCTTTCCCTGAATGCTTTCCCTTTCCCATAAATCCTTTCCCACATTCCCTGGATTATTTTCCCTTTTTTCTCCACCTTTCCCACATTCCCTGGATCCTTTTTCCCACTGCCCTGATTTTCAAACCCATTCCCTGGATTCTTTCCCCCCTTTTCCCAAAATCCTTTCCCACTTTTCCCCCATCCTTCAGGATTTTCCCTCCATCCTTTCCCACATTCCCAGGATCTTTTCCCATTTTTCCTTCATCCTTTTACCAATTTTCCTGCCTCTCCCACCCCAATCCCTCCATCCATTCCCACCTTTTTCCATCCTTTCCCTAAATTCTTCCCCTTTCCCTTTAAACCTTTCCCACATTCCCTGGATCATTTCCCCCCTTTTCCCAAAATAATTTCCCGCCTTCCCTGAATCTTCCAGGATTTTCCCTCCATCCTTTCCCAGATTCCCTGGATCCTTTTCCCTCTCTCCTGCATTTCCCAAACCATTCCCCGCATCCTCTCCCACATTCCCAAAATCCTTTCCCACCTTCCCTGAATCTTTTCCCATTTTCCCTTCATCCTTTCCCGCTTTTCCTGCCTCTCCCANNNNCACAGGAATTAGGAAAAAACTCTGGGAATTCCTGCTCGCAATTTCTTCCGGAAGGAGGGAAAAAAATATTGGAATTTCCTCAGGAATGGGGAAAAATTTCTGGAAGTTTTTGAGAATGAGGGAAAAAAATTCCTGGAGTTTCCTTGGGAATGAGGGAAAAAACTCTGGGAATTCCTCTCAGAATTCCCTTGGGAATGAGGAAAAATTCACAGACTTTCCTCAGGAATTTCCTCAGGAATCAGGAAAAAACTCTGGGAATTCCCGCTCGCAATTTCTCCCGGAAGGAGGGAAAAAAATATTGGAATTTCCTCAGGAATGGGGAAAAATTTCTGGAAGTTTTTGAGAATGAGGGAAAAAAATTCCTGGAGTTTCCTTGGGAATGAGGGAAAAAACTCTGGGAATTCCTCTCAGAATTCCCTTGGGAATGAGGAAAAATTCACAGACTTTCCTCAGGAATTTCCTCAGGAATTCCCTCAGGAATTCCCTCAGGAATCAGGAAAAAACTCTGGGAATTCCCACTCAGAATTGAGGAAAAAGTCTGGGAATTCCTGCACAGAATTTCCTTGGGAATGAGGGAAAAATTCCTGGAATTTCCTTGGGAATTTCCTCAAGAATGGGGAAAATTCTGGGAATTTCCTCAGAAATTTCCTCAAGAATCAGGAAAAAACTCCCAGAATTTCCTTGGGAATGGGGGGAAAATTCCTGGAATTCTGGTTGGAAATTTTCTCAGGATGGGGGAAAAAACTCCGGGAATTCCCACTCCCATCTCAGATTTCTCCCCTTGGAACTTCCTCGGGAAGGAGGGAAAAAAATTCCTGGAATTTCCTCAGGAATGATGAAAATTCCCCCAGTTCTGGCTGTGCAAGGTCACCTTCCCCTCCTCCCTCAGACTCCTCAAATTCCTGGGATTTTCCGTCATTTTCTCAGGAATGAGGGAATTTCCTGGATCCTTTCCCACTTTCCTGAAATCCTTTCTCACTTTTCCTCCATCCTCCGGAGTTTTCCCCAAATCCTTTCCCACATTCCCGAAATCCTTTCCCACTTTTCCTGCCTCTCCCATCCCTTTCCCTCCATCCATTCCCACTTTTTTCCCATCCTTTCCCACATTTTCCATCCTTTCCCACATTCCCTAAATCCCTTCCTACTTTCCCTAAATGCTTTCCTACTTTTCCATAAATCCTTTCCCACTTTTCCTCCATCCTCCGGAGTTTTCCCCAAATCCTTTCCCACATTCCCTGAAATCCTTTCCCACATTCCCAAAATCCTTTCCCACATTCCCTGAAATCCTTTCCCACATTCCCTGGATCCTTTCCCACATTCCCTGGATCCTTTCCCACATTCCCTGGATCCTTTCCCACTTTTCCTGCCTTTCCCACCCCTTTCCCTGCAGCATTCCCACCTTTTCCCTTCCTTTCCCACTTTCTCCTGAAATCCTTTCCCACTTTTCCCCCATCCTCCAGGATTTTCCCTCCATCCTTTCCCACATTCCCTGGATCTTTTCCCTTTTCCCCTTCATTCTTTTCCCACTTTTCCTGCTTCTCCCAGCCCTTTCCCTCCATCCATTCCCACCTTTTTCCACCCTTTCCATCCTTTCCCTGAATGCTTTCCCTTTCCCATAAATCCTTTCCCACATTCCCTGGATTATTTTCCCTTTTTTCTCCACCTTTCCCACATTCCCTGGATCCTTTTTCCCACTGCCCTGATTTTTCAAACCCATTCCCTGGATTCTTTCCCCCCTTTTCCCAAAATCCTTTCCCACTTTTCCCCCATCCTCCAGGATTTTCCCTCCATCCTTTCCCACATTCCCTGGATCCTTTTCCCTCTCTCCTGCATTTCCCAAACCATTCCCCGCATCCTCTCCCACATTCCCAAAATCCTTTCCCACCTTCCCTGAATCTTTTCCCATTTTCCCTTCATCCTTTCCCGCTTTTCCTGCCTCTCCCACCCCAATCCCTCCATCCATTCCCACCTTTTTCCATCCTTTCCCTAAATTCTTTCCCTTTCCCTTAAATCCTTTCCCACATTCCCTGGGTCCTTTCCCCTCTCTCCTGCATTTTCCAACCCATTCCCTGGATCCTCTCCCACATTCCCAAAATCCTTTCCCACCTTCCCTGAATCCTCCAGGATTTTCCCTCCATGCTTTCCCACATTCCCTGGATCTTTTCCCATTTTTCCTTCATCCTTTTCCCACTTTTCCTCCCTGCATTTTCCAACCCTTTCCCTGCATCCTCTCCCACTTTTCCTGCCCCTTCCTGCACCTCCCTGGATCCTTTCCCACATTCCCAAAACCCTTTCCCGCTTTTCCTGCATCTCCCAACCCAATCCCTCCACCCTTTCCCACACTCCTGAAATCCTTTCCCACTTTTCCTAAGCCCTCCAGGAATTTTCCTCCATGGTTTCCCACATTCCCTGGATCCTTTCCCACATTCCCTGAAATCCTTTCCCACATTCCCTGGATCCTTTCCCAC